ACACCCTTGAGTGATCAGTGTGCTAATTAACTCTGGGTCTGCATTTGGGCACAGACAGGGGAAACACCGTTCAGGCTCCCGCTCCAGCCTACGTCTGTCCCCTTTGACCCATCCTTTGGAGACCGCCGGGTTCGTCTGAAAGCACAGATGGACTTGGACTCAGGGTGCACTTGCCCCAAAGAGCTCTGCACCTGGGGGCCAGCCACTCCACCACGAAGAGTCCTGCTCACTCGTCGGTCCCCCGGGGGCTGGCTGCACTGGGCACGGTGTGGGGCAGCCACGCGGCGGAGTCTGCACCTTGCCAGCCTTCCAGCACACACGTCACCAAGTGTGACCCCACGTCCAGGACAAGCGCGCTGCTCTGGGATCGCGCTCCAGTACCCAAAATGGCCCTGACTTGATCTGGCAGCTCCTGATTTGGCAGAGGCCAGGGCTGGATTAGCAAGGCCTCTCATTCCAAGGGTGTGGATCAGCGCAAATCTTGCCAGTGGAGTCAGCAAGAAACCTGCCTCTCCGAGCTGACTGAGAGCAGAGGGGCTCAGAGCCCCGGCCATTGGCACTCAGGGCCACACGGCCGCGCCCAAGTTCTAGCCGGGGGTCTGGGCACGCGTGGGCCCACCGGCCACCCCACTGTTGTTCCCGAGACAAAGTAACAGAGCCCCCTCCAGCTCCTCTATCCCCAGGCCAAGAGTCTCTCCCCGCTGCGGTCATGCCCTCGCCGGGTGCAGGGGATTAATAAGGTGGCCGGAAATGTACTCACAGCCCCACAGATTAAAGCCAGCGGGCGCAGGCCGGATTCCAGGTCTGGAAACACTGACCCTGCCCCCATCGACCACAGGTGAGTTGGAAGGGTCACGGATGGGAGACAGAGGGCCCGGTCCTCCCCTGCACATTCTCCTGTCTCTGCACCCACCCCATCCCAAGTCATGGCACGTGGCTGCGGAAGAGCAGGCCTCCTGGTTCCTCTGCACTTGCAGGAAACGCATGGTGGGTGAAGACCTGGGAAGTGCAAGGTTGAATCCCACCAACTGCCTGCTTGCCCAGCCTTCAAACGTTCTGCATGTCAGACACGCCCTCTGAGAACTGCATGGCTGCAATCCTCCCCAGGCCGCCCGGGGAACAGGGGCTCTCATCTAGAATGGCCGCGTCAAGCCTTTCTGCATCTCCACACGACAGAGGGAAAGCGACAAGAGGCACCTGGAGAGGATGAAGTGGGGACTGCGGTTCTCCCCTCTGCCCCTCCTCAGCCCCCTGCACGGGCACGGTGGTGATGTCGGTTTCCGAGGAGGGGCAGACTCGGCAGGGGCTCTGCCCGGCGTTACTCGCTGCCTCCGGACCTGGTTCAAGTGCACCCGCAGTTTCGATAGCCTCACCCCGCCCTCCTGACAGCCCATGGGCACACGGTACCCGAGGACATAATGAGCCACTGAGCAGTTTATGGAGGTCCCGCTAGGATGGGGCTACCTGCTCATCAGGCAGAGAAGCAAGCTCTCCATACCTGGAGGCTATTTTCAGAGGCGCTTTCCGTTTTTAATGACAACATGCACCACTGGAGTCAGCACCGCTGAGGTCCCTGGAGTCTCTTTAATTGTCCGAGTTGGTGAAATCTGCAGGTCTAGTCATTTGAAACCTGCGGTTTTCAAAGTGCTGCCAGGGCGAGTTATTAAACTGACTATTCTCCTTCGGGCCATGTGAATTTTGTGTTTGGATTCAGGGGAGAGAGTGAAGCAGGGGACGAGGTAAGCACAGGGCTTGCTGAGGTCCACGGCGAACCCCGGAACCGGCCGCAAACAAATGGCCCACACTCCCACTAGAGACACCCTTCCTCCTCTCCCAGCGCCTCCACCAGTCCAAACAAACATAGGAAGAGAAACAGAATTGTTTGAAAGCCTGACTTTCCGGAAGAACATGAATAGGATTCAGGTGTGGCTGCGGCTCTGCGGCTTCTCAAGGAGATCCACACAAATTCTTTCCTGTGCGAGTCTCCAAGCTGAGCACCCAAAGTAAATAAGCTTTTCTAAGGCCTCCTGCCTCGGCGCCCAGCCAGCACACTGAAATTCTCTGCCCAGAGTTCAAGGTCCTGCGCTGGTCCGGGTGCGGCCACTCCAGGCCTGTCACTCACTGTCGCTGGGAACTGAACTCACGGTCCGAGCTCACAGGGACCACCAGCCCCTCTCCCCAGGTCGCCCAAGACCTGTATGCAGCCATCTCCTTTCCCTTCTTCCATCAGGCTTCGGGCGTGGACCACACCCGTCTCGTGCAGAAGGACTGGAATCCAGAGACCAGGCCAGTGACGCAGACCGTGGGGAAGACCCCCTGGCCTCTGGTTTGAGCACCGGTGATATACTGGGATGCAAGTTCAGGATAACAGCAAAGGCTCATTCCAGCTCTAGTAATAAATCATCCTTAAGTTCCGGGGAGGTTGTGCATCTTGGTTCGGATCTGTCAGAGGCGGGGCAGGCCATCCGTGAGGACCTGGGCTGATGCAGCGCCCTCCTCGCTGAGCCCCCTGCCCCCTGCCCACCCGTCCTGCACACACCACCAGGCGACCCTTCAAACAGCACTTCTGCCCGATCAAGGCCGCCAGTGGCCCCGCTCCGCCACCTGGGCCAAGCTTTGTCCAGAGGTCAAGGATGCCCTCAGCCCTGCTCTGCGCTTGGTCCAGCCACGCTGGTCAGCCCTGTTCCAGATGCTCTTGCCTCTCACCCTCTCCACCTCTACCTGTCCTACCGCCCCTCAAGGTCTAAGTCAAGCCCTCCTCCCACTCACTGTCCCAGTGTTGGTGACGTCCAACATGCCTCACATTTAATATCTATATATCATTTCACATGCAAGCATATGCTGGCCTGGAAGCTTCTCAGGTTAAGTGACTCTATAGCTTTTAAACAATTATCTGTTCTCAAACTACACTGGAAATGTTTTCAGGCAAAGGCCTTGCACAGAAGATGGTTAGCAAAGGCTTGTTGGGACTTCCCTGGCCGTCCAGTGGCTAAGACTCTGCTCCCAACGCAGGGGGCCTGCATCTGATTCCCGGCCAGGAAACCAGATCCTGTGTGCCGCAAGTAAGGCCTGGTGCAGCCAAATAAACATTTTAAGAAATAATAATAAAGTAAAACAAAGGCTTGTTGACTAGAACACTGACTTAACAAACATTTGCTAAGACCTACTATGGACTAAGTTCTGAGTGTGTGTGTGTGTGAGTTGCTCAGTCGTGTCTGACTCTTTGTGATCCCATGGACCCGCCAGGCTCCTCTGTCCGTGGGATTTCCCAGGCCAGAAAACTGGAGTGGGCTGCCATTTCCTTCTCCGGGGGATCTTCCCAACCCAGGGACTGAACCTGGGTCTCCTGCATTGCAGGCAGACTCTTTCCCACCTGAGCCACCAGGGAAGCCAAGCTGTGAAAATACATCAAGAAAACCCAGCACACAGTCTGGAGGTGGAAATCATAAGCACACAGCGTTCACAGTTGCAGGTGCTAAGTGCTGCAGGAGAGCTTTGCCCAGGGAACCACAGGGTGGAGGCCAAAGGTCGATCACTAAGCCAGATCCACAGAGGGAGTGCAGGAGCATCAGGAAAGGCTTCTCAGAGGGAGTTGGCATCTTGGAGGATTCTCGACATTGGCTGGACAAGTAAAGAGACAGGGGTGATGGAGGCAGAGGGGACAGAATCTGTGAGGCCATGAAGATGGTCGAGAACTGGATCAGGCAAGGAACTGAAAGCAGAGGGTAGCTGGAGCTTAGAGGTCGAGGAGAGGGGAAGGAAGAGCTGAGACCAGACAGAGAGGGGCCCTCGGTGGTCAGATCTCATCCTCAAGGGGCTGGTGAGCCAGTGATGAGATAACACCATGGCAACAGCGGAGGAGGCATCAGAGGGGAGGGAGGAAGTGGTGAGCGACTCCCCCAATGCTGGAGAGGGCAGGCAGGATTTAAGAGTTATTGATGAGGTAGGATCAATATGAGACTCCGTCAATGTGTGAGGGAGCGCAGGAGAGAGCAGGACCAACTTGCAGGTTCCAGCTTGGACAGCCAGAAAGGAGGTGATAAAATTCACCGAGACCCGGAAGACGGTGCCCTGAGAACTTTCGGAGGAAAAGTCAGAGTCTGTGGCTCCATCATGTTCAGGGCAGCTCTGGGCTCCAGAGGGAGACCCTGGAGGACATGGACCCCAGCTTTAGGCAAGAGTCCAGATTTCAGAAACACAATCATAACTAGAGATAAGGATTTCACAGCCTTGCGATCCCCTGGGAGATAATACAGGGCAAGAAGAAATCAAAGGAAAGGCCACGGGGGAATCTTGACGTTCCAGGGATGGGAGCTGAAGAGGATTCTCTGGACAGTTCTTGGAGAGGACAGAAAGGCAGGAAGTGGACTGGTTCCTAGGCAGGCTGGGTTCGCCACGTTACAGCTTGGCAACTGGCTCCAGGTCGAGCAACTAGTGAGGTGCAAGAGCTTACATTCAGACTCGGGTCAGTTCCAAAGCCCTAACCTCTCTACACTCCCGCCACAACTGACACCTGCCCAGCTACAACAGGAATGCTGCCGGCTGTGGCCAACAATTCCCGCCAAGCAGCCCTCCCCTGGACCCCACGTGCGGCAGAGTCCGGGGCTCTGAACCGCTCCTCCAGATGCCCGTGTCTACTCCGCGTCCTCTGGGGGAGATCTCTCTGGGGGATGTTGAGCGACCAGCCTAGAGTGGCCCCTTTGCATCCACTGCCTTGATGTCCCCTAAAGTCCCCGTGACATCTTTTGATTCGCTCTTGGTCTGGAGAGTGTATGTTGGACAGAGGATGATAGATAAAAATGCCCGTGGATACCTCTCCAGTCCACAACAGAGAAGTCTGCACTGCGCAGGCTGTGTATATAACACGGAGCAGGGAGGTTCTCTTCTTCAGTATTAGTCAATGATAATTCTGAAAGGTTACTAAATAAGTGTTGCTAGGCAACAGGAGTCGCAGTGGGGGTGTGGGGTGGGGTTCTGCTAACTCGGGGATATGGATTCTCGGGGAGGGGGAAATCAGCTTAACCCCACGGAGTCAGCTGGTACCTGAGCAAAATGGACTGTGTGCCCCCCGGCCCACCCAGGGTCTCATCCAGGGCAAGGCGGGCACTGCCAGCCTCTGCAGTAGCTACGGGCACTGTCGTCCGATGGGCATCCACCTTGGTGAGGAGGTATCATGGGAGGAGTTGCATTTTAAAGAAGTGATAGCCTGGTCTCGGTTATTGGGGCAGAGGAAAAGGGAGGACTAAAGAACAACATACACTGTTTCCAGCGATGCAAAACCTGAATCAATACTCACTGAGCGTGCGTCATGCAAGCCGAGGCTTGGGAAAGGCAGACACTCAGGTTTTCTCAAATAAATTCAAGTCCCACACAAGAGACTATTTGCCAAACAGGCACTCGTTTTGACAAGCAATAAAAGTGGAGGGGCTTAACTCAATCGAGTTCTTACCACCACCAGGCTGGTGGGGAACAAGGGAGATGCAGGTACATTTTCATACATATTTATAAGCCTTGCTGTAAGTCAGCCCAGCGTCATGTGGCTCCCTTACATATACTAGCATAATATTCTAAACCAGACAATTTCTTAGAAATGTGTTGTTTCGGAAAAATTGGAATTTTCCAGCTTGCACTAAGATTAGCCAAGCTAAACCCATCTGGCTCCTGCCTCATGTAGAAAAATCTATATGGGACAAAAATCTGCCTTTCTATTCCCCAGGCACGAGGTGAGGCCTGCGTGCCTCTTGGGTAAACAGAAACGAGGGCTAAGTCAGCATCAAACACTTGTGTGGGGCCTCGCGTTGTGACACAGCGTCCCGAGCTTCAGGCCCGGCCCTGCCAGGACCACATGCGGGACGGGAAGCCCGGCACCATCTGTGACCTTTCGGGGCACCCAGGGTGGCCCAGCGCCTCCGTGTCCCTTGTTATCCCAGTGTGCATCCCGCCCCCCCCAATCAACTCAGATTTCCTAATATTGACACAAACTCCTTAACTAACGAAAGGCAGTTCTTACCTAACCATGGGGCTGAGAGACAGGAACCAAGTGAAAAGACACGGGGGCAAACGACAGACGGGAGGGGACGGGGTGTTTCCTCCAAGAGGAACAGACAGACGTGTCAGACAGAAGACGGAGGTCTTCCAGCGGGTGGGAGGTGTGAAGCAAGACATGAAGTCCTAAAGCCAGCGGGCAAGGACGCTGTTCTTGGCACAGCTCAGCCAGCAGAGACATCGAAGAGGATGGCAGAGCCCCAGTGGACAGAATGAAAGCAACTAATGAAGGCGGAGACCTTCTTCTGACACAGGCTGTGAAGGAGCAGTCATTCCCCGAGACGGAGGATGCTTACAGCGGGCTCTCTGAAGAAGAGAGGTCCATTCCCCCTCTATCTCCTGAAGCTAACGAAGCAGGAGAAAGGAGACACTGTACTCCCCAAAGTGGGCCAGCCACGTTCCAGGCCAGGGCTCTTCATACTGAAGCCATAGAACAAGATATTGACTTTCATATCCACAAACTCTGCCCCTTCGAATGGAATCTGGGGCCATGCAGTAAGGAATTACCCCCCCCCCCCCCCCAGCTGGCCACCGTAAGGGAAGTCGTCCTATTTGGATCTGAAAGGGCATAACCGAGGCATCATCACCTAGGAGCATGGCTCCTAGTTTTACCCCCTCTGTCTGAGGTCATAGCTCCCAACCCTGGTTATGGCCCAGATTCACCTGCAGGGCTTTAAAAAACATATAGATGTTCAGCACCTCTCCCACCTCAGTCAGAAGCTCTGAAAATGGGGCCTGCAACTCTCTATTTTTATTATTTTTTTAATGAAAGAAATGGCCTTCACACACACTTTCGATAGGAGTATGAACAAGTACAATTCTTTTAGAGCCTACATACTTTGATCCAGTAATTCCACATCTAGGGACTTACACTTTAAATATGCTGAATGTATGGAGAATGGCAACCAAGGATGAGAACAAGCTAAAGGTACTTGTTAAATAAATTACAGCATATCCAGACAATGGAATTCCATGCCAGGAGAGCTGTATATACTCATATGGAAAGATATCCAAAAAACATTAAGCAAAAAAGGCAAGTTGCATAACATTATGTATAGTATATATTCTTTGTATAGTGTGTGCATATACATATATTTCCATATTTTTCTACACAATCAATATGTACAAATGTATTTATACACACAAAGAAAATGTCTGGTAGACTAGGAACTGCTGACTGTTAAATCTGGGAATGGGATATAGGGACTCAAGTTGTATCTTACACTGGTGATATATTACTTCTCAACATTCAAAAAACTAAGACCATGGCCTCTGGTCCCATCACTTCATGGCAAATATATGGGGAAACAATGGAAACAGTGACAGAATTTTGGGGGGGCTCCAAAATCACTGCAGATGATAACTGCAGCCATGAAATTAAAAGACGCTTGCCCCTTGGAAGAGAAGCTATGACCAACCTGGAAAGCATGTTAAAAAGCAGAAACATTGCTTTGCCAACAAAGGTCCGTCTATTCAAAGCTATGGTTTTTCCAGTAGTCATGAGTGGATGTGAGAGTTGGACTATAAAAAAAGCTGAGTGCTGAAGAATTGATGCTTTTGATCTGTGGTGTTGGAAAAGACTCTTGAGAATCCCTTGGACTGCGAGGAGATCCAATCAGTCCATCCTAAAGGAAATCAGTCCTGAATATTCATTGGAAGTAATGATGCTGAAGCTGAAACTCCAATACTTTGGCCACCTGATGCGAAGAGCTGACTCATTGAAAAGACCCTGATGCTGGGAGTGATTGGGGGCAGGAGGAGAAGGGGACAACAGAGGATGAGATGGCTGGATGGCATCACCGACTCAATGGACATGGGTTTGAGCAAGCTCCAGGAGTTGGTGATGGACAGGGAGGCCTGGCCTGCTGTGGTCCATGGGGTCGCAAAGAGTCGGACACGCTGAGCGACTGAACTGACTGATACATTTCTTTTGTAATTAAATTATTTTAAATAACTTTTCAAAAAGCTCCCCCGGAGAGTCTCACATGAGGCCGAGGTGTAGAACCAATTTGGTGTTGATATTGTGTCGCTAAATCCCGAACCAGTGGTCTGGAAGAAATAGCCCACATGGAGGTAAGTAGCTAGCACAGGAAAGCCTGTAAGGAAACCCACCACCCATAGATTCACACCATGTCATACCTCTGACGTGCCAGAAGGTGGCGCCGCAGAGACAATCACCCAGCTCTTGGGCCAAAACTTTTCAAAACCAATTTTTCATAAACCAAAGTCTTTGCTCCTCTCAGGACTCTTTTACTTATGCCAATAGCCTTCTTTGCTGCTGCTTCCACAGGGGAGATTTACACACATTTGTGCCATATGCATTTTTTCACAGAAATCCATGGGTCATTCAATACATTCCAATACAGTGCTTGGGAGATGTTTTCCTGAAGGGAGTGGGCTTGCTCAGAACTCTCCCTCCTGCCCACACGGTGTCCTGCGGTCTGCTCTGGTTTACTCATCTCCTTATCTTATTCCAGAGTCCGTTCCACAAAAGCAGACGACAGTCAGCCACGTGGGGCATTTGTCCTTCCCCGCCTGTCCTCACCTTTGGCCAGAACAGGCAGTGTGGGGCTAAGACAGCCCAGGGCAAGTACCACGCGTTTTCCTGCCCTCCCACCAGATGCTTTTCTCAAAGTGGGTGTGTTGCCACAGCAACTGTCAAATTCCATCAGCTACGCCGCCTCTAACCTCCTGACTTCTTTAAACGTGCCACGTTTGAGACACGTGTCTCAGCTGCCCTGCCGTGCAGACCCCGGACCCCTCACCACCCAGCAAAGCCTCGCTTCTCTGGGTATTCATCACATATACATTCTTTTTATTCTTTTCCCCCTCATTTTAAAATTTTAGTCTCTTGTCCCTTAATGCTATGATCTGAATTAATTCTTGAGCGTATTTAATGGGAATTAATATCAGTCAAGAAAAACTAAATGAGTCATTTAAATATGCACTTCATATTCAATAACTTGTGCTCATTCTTCAAGACACAGTTCATCTCTGATCGTTTCTCTGCACCCCATTCAGAGCTGACCACTCTTGCCTTCCTGACTTCACTTTGTCCACACCCTTAACACTTTTTTTTTTTAGTTTCTATTTTCTTTCTTTACAACTTTCATTTCTTTGCAAGTGCTATATTTTTTTTCCCCTCTATTTTTTGGCCATGCCATGTGGCTTATAAGATCTTGGTTCCCCACCTAGGGACTGAACTTGCGCCCCCTGCAGCGGAAGTGTGCTTCGCCACTCGGTCGTGTCCGACTCTGTGACCCCATGGACTAAGGCCCGCCAGGCTCCTCTGTCCATGGAATTCTCCAGGCAAGAATACTGAATGGGTTGTCATGCCCTCCTCCCGGGGCTCTTCCCAACCCAGGGATAGAACCCAGGTCTCCTGCATGGCAGGCAGATTCTTTACCATCTAAACCACCAGGGAAGTGGAAGTGTGGCATCTTAATCACTGGACCGCCAGAGAAGACCCACGCCCTTAACACTTCAGTCACATTTATTTCTCTCTCTCTCTGTAGTTCACAAGCATCTCAAGTTCAAGAGATAACATCCTCCTGATCTCTGAATTCCCAACATCTAGTTCAAAGCCTGAGAGTTGGCCCTGAGTAAATGTCAGGTAAGGAAAAGGATAAATGCTCTGAAAAAAGCCTCATTTGCTGCAGTCCTCCATTCATTTTTATCATGTTGTTAAGTAACAGGGATAATGATGTGATGACCAGGTATCAAACCTGAAGATAAGAGCCAAAGAACACGTGTACAAACGCTTTTTTAAGAAGAAGAATACAGAAAGTTCATCCCTGAGACTTTATACCATCCTCTTTTTCATTCTTGTTTTTCAGATCCAAGAAGTGCATCGAGAGGGAGGCTCCTCCATATGGGGAGAAGCAGTGAAGCCCCGAAGAAGGAAGCCGTCACATTCCTGGAGTCCTCAGCAGGCGGCCTGACATCTGGTCCACACGCAGGGAAAAGAGGCCACATCCTCACATGGAGCTCTATTTTTGCATCTGAACTGCTGGTGCTTCACTTGTACAACTTGCCTCACACACAGGAAGGGGAAGGGAACTAATATTTACCAAGTGCCGGCTCCATGCTCTGAGCTGCCTCACCTACATGACTCTGCGAACACCCGTCCCCCACGTTTTGAGTCTGCAAGGAGCTCTCGGTAAGCATGTCTGAAAAGCACGTGGAGGCGCGCACTCCCTTCACCCACCCGCTGATGGCGGAGCGGAGAGCTGCCGCCCCGCACATCCACATGGCCGTGCATGGTTCTCCCTGCAGCCCCTCGAGAGGGCTGAAGATGGAAATCTCAGCACGGAGGACCGGGGTTCCCGGGACCGACAGGCCTCCCTGCTGCACCTGGGCAGATCAGCACAGCCTGGGCCCTGGGGGCCAACCCTGCCCTCTGCCCTCCGCGGACTGCACCATGAGCTTGGCACAGAGGCACTGTGGGCTCCCAAGCCTCTAGACTGTCCCTGACTCTTCCTGGATGGCTGTGTTTACCATTTCACAGAAGTTCATGTTTAAGATCGGACTGGAAGGCGCTGTGGCTTTGAGAGCTGTGGCAAAGCACAGAATCCATTTTTAAGTCACATCCGCTATGACTGAAAGGGAAGCCTGCGCTCTGACAGCTGGCCTCCCCAGGCCGGGGCCATGAGATCTCAGTGCCGCCACCGACGCCCCTTTCGCTCGCACCCCCTCCACACCCAGGTTCCCCGGATGCCTGACACTGCTGTGCCATCCACACGGGGGTTCCGAGGTCCGGGAGTCCCCACCTTCCAGGAGGGCAGGGCGTCTCCTGCGGGGAAACAAGAGGGGAGGCCCGCACACGGGTGCCGCAGCCAGCCCTCGGGGTGCCCGCGCCAGCCTGGCGGCCCACTGACCGGACTCCCTGGGCCGTCTGCTCGTTCTCTGGCCCCTGATTTTACCCTCTGTGCGAGGGCCGTAATGATAGTACCCACCTAGTGCCAATAACGGCAGCGCCCAGGGCTTGCTTTGAGTTTTAATCGTACGTGTAAAACCACTCAGCCTAGCTTGTAGCCCAGGCTACAGTAAACACTAGAGAAGGATTAGCTGCTAATCACACTGTTCCTTTTTACCCATCTGTTTGAAGGAAGCTCTGTGTTCAGAGAAAAACTGGTGCACACTGCAGACTGCCTGATTCTCAGGATTTCAGCGGTCAAGAAAGAAGGCCGAGGGTGACCGATCCGGCCGACTTGCCTGACGGGCCTCCCGTGACTCCGGGTGCCCTGGGGTGAGCTGGCATCACACTCAGCACGCAGCTCTGGGCTGCACCATGCTCTTCTCTGAACGTCTGCTCTGTGCATTTGCCGGCTTTTCCTCAGCACCATGGGAAGAAAATGGCTCTGGTGCTGTCTCCCCTGAAGTGAAGGATATTCCTCTTACATTCCAAAGGGAGACACCCAGGCCTCTGTGCCAACGAGCTGCCCACCCCCCTCTGCCAAAGGCTAACCGCGCGGAACGCAGTGTTCCCACGAGCCAGCCTGGCCTTCCTAACCAGACTCAAGCCAGGCTTATTTATTAATACGATGGACCCAAAGGGCCAGGACAGATTCGCACCAGAGAAAGCAGATTGGCAATTATTAATGTTCTGCCTTATGAGTTTACATATGGCTCTTTTTAAAAGTTCCCCTCAAATCACAACTTGATCTGTAATGTTTAAGTTCATAAATGGATACATACATTTACATATGAACATACCTGGCAGATATGCCGAGTGGTTAATTCATCCTGGATAATGGAAGAAGGGTGCTTGCTATGTAATTTTTTAAAAATATTTTAAACCTTTCTCAAAATAATTTTTCAAATGCCTTGGTTGTTTGAATAATTTTCTGCCCTGTTCTTTCCAGAGACCTCGGCGACCTCACCCGAGTAGGAGGGAGGTTCTTTTCCCCAACGTTCTCCTGAACTGAGGCCCAGGAGGCTGGACAGCAGCAGCATGTGCGGGAGGGTCCCACACCTCCAGGGGTCGCCAGAAGCTTCACACTGCGTTTCCTGGCGTGGGCACACAGCGGGCAGGGGGCTTAGAATGAACTCTGCTCAGAAACTGTTGAGGACGTCGCAGATCCAGCCAAAACCCCATCTAATTCTTGACCTGCCACGGCGGGGGCAGGGGGCCAGAGGGCAGCTCCGGTCCCCAGCCCATCCTCAGCACAGGGTCGGTCCCCAAAGCCCCCCTCCCTCCAACAGGGCCCTGTCTATCTCAGGGAAACCAGTCACTGGCTGGTGAGGACACAGCACCCTTCCTCAAACCAACAAACCCTATGCTCAAGGAATTACATCCTTCACGTGTCACTGGAGAGGGCTCTGCATCTGCTAAGCAAAGAAATATAAGTTGGTGTTTTTCAAAAAATTGGCATTCCTCTCCATTCCTCCCTTCCCCCAACCCAACATGGGACTTCTTACTTGCCCAGTTAAAACTCCAATTAAGTACCTGTTAGATGAGTTTCACGACTCTCACAGGTGATCTGGGAATATGGTACAGGCTGGAGTTGCTGACTTGCAACTTGGGCGTGGAAAGTCAGGGCTGAGTACCCACCTTTGTAATCTCTCATCCTTGGCTATTCAACAGCCTATCAGAAAACAGCCCAAAGAGCAGCTCACTGGAGCGCTGAGGTGAGCCCTGACCCTAGCACCGTCCAAAGAGGTCTGTACGCGCGGCCCCGACTCAGTGCTGCCCTGACGGAGCTCATCACATCCCCTGGACCTTCTGTACAGACTCGCCATTTTGAACCAAATTCTGCCAGCTTCGCCGAAGATATTGAAGTCAGCACAAGTGCTCCTGGAAAACCAATTACGGTGAAAGTAATGTCTTTGCGATCTCAATCATTCAACAAATGCTGACTGAGTCAGCACGCACACCAACCACGGTGCAAAGCATGGGCTTTGGGGCCTGAGAGAAACGCCTAATCCCTGTCGCTGAGACGCCCGCAAGCAGGGGTACAGAACATGCTCTGGGGAACATGGGGTTCAACACATCTCCACCTGTTTTATGCAAAACTCTCATGGGATTGAAGTACCCACGCTGGCATGAGAATAGGTCAAACTCAGGCCCAGCCACTTGATCTACTGATTTTCAAAGGAGTCCCAACACAGCCAATTCTGAGGGTAGGTGCCCTGCCATTCAAAGCAGTAAGAAAAGCACTGTGCCTGGCACCAGCTAATTATATCACGAAGTCACATTCCCTGAACCCTCCCCCAAACGAGGGCAGAGGGTAGCCGCCTCGGGGTGCCGTCTTGCTGGGTGGCAGATGGCAGCAAGCCAAGAGCTTACACGTTCACCGTGGCCAATGCAGAAAGCAGGTGACCCACACAACACACCTGCCAGACTGCAGATCAGACCATCCCCGTCGTCCACCAGAGCTTCTACCCATCAAAAAGGAAAAAGAGACAAAAAAAGAAAACCAGAAAACCTGTCTGGCTTATAAGGGGAAGGGGAACAAAGCGTCTGAACTTCAACCATTTCTCAATGCTTTCAGGAGATCTCTTTGAAACTGCAGGGCAACTTTCATCTCTCCAATAACCTTGTCTGACCTCACCTGAAATGACTAATGTGATTGCAACAGTTTCACTCTCTGAAGTAGCCCTCTTTCCACCCCCCACTGCGCTGAGGCCTCTACCATCACCATGAGAACTTGGCATTATTTTTAAAGCTAATTACCTTCAGGTTTTGGAGACAGGTGGCATGGCTTTCTGCCCCCTCCCTTCTGCTGAGTAAGGAGAAACTTCTCCAGATGCCTGGCAGGAGAGCCTGCATCCTGGTCCCTGAGATTCTGGGCACCCTTCTTATGGGGGGAGGGGTTCCCATGGCATCCTGTTCTATGAAGCAGCAGCTGCCGTATGCATCTTGCGGAGGAAAAAGTTTCTTTAAATCTTTATTAGTTGCTGTTTGGCTAGATGGGACTGATAGCAAAAGCAACATTCCAAGGTAGTCAACACTAGGATCAGAATAAGACTTGGCACTTGGAAAATCCCCAAAGGATGTATGGGCTGGCACAATATGGGAAAAAAGAGTTTATTTTCAATTTTTTGTTTGTTTGTTTCAAGAGGGGTCGATTTCATTGAGAAAAGAGAGGGCAGTATGATTCCAATAAACCTCTGTGTTCTAACCATTTTCTGATCTTTCCTAATCAGGGTTTAAAATTCCAGAACCAAAGTTCTTTTCAAACCCGAGTCAGGCTTAGGTATCCACCTGTAAGAACAGTGTATGTGCCAACATCAAAAGGAGGAGATTACATCACCCCTTTCCCCTAGTTCCTCTTTTTGAAATTAGATATGTGTGCTACTGAAGGCAAAACAATGAGCTGGGTCCCAGAGAAAAGTGAGGTGCGGATGGTAGCAGGGGTGCAGAAGGGCTGGGACTACAAAATGTTAAGTACTGGGTGGGGGAGGGGCAGAAATAAAAATAGACCAGTAAGGGAAAACTGAATGGAAGAGGTTCGTTTGTTTAACAGTGTTTGCCATTCCAGGAGGCTTGCTGAAGCTCTTTCTTTCAATGGCTGGCCTTGGACCAGCATTTGAAAAGTCTTAGATCTTTGGAGAGGAAGATTTGGACAACAAAGTTGTTTTATCTGGGAGGGTCACTAGTTTACTCAAGAGTTCCAGGACTTTGGTTTTGATGTTATTACCTTGGCCCGAGTGTCTCTGTCCCAGGCAGTCCTGGCTGTGTTTACTGCCTTAGGAAACAGGGGAACCTGGGAGGGGGCTTCTCCCGCCCGCCGCGGCCACGCTTCGCTGGATCACCTGTTACCTGGGCCCCCTGAAGACAAGAGGGACGGGGGCCAGTTAAACATGCTTTAAAGGTCCTATCTCTCGACACTCAGAAGAGGGAAATAACACTTCTCTAACTCACTCCCCAAATAGACGCCGCCGTGGATGTTCTGCCAAGGAGTGATGCGAAAGCGTGTTCCAAAGTGAAATGTAAGCTTGGCGCGGTGCCCAGCCCGCGGCTGGATTCCGCACAGAGCTGGGGGCTGGCGAAGCGAAGGAGCACATTTCTCTCCATGTGACTCCGAGAGCCAGGCAGCCAGAGCAGATTTCTTTGTGTTAATAAAATGTGATATCTAGACTGTACACACAGGCAGCCTTGGGAAAACGTGAGCCAAAGGGAAGGACCCGAGGAAACCCATGGCCCAGACTGAGGAGGGGCTTCAGCTGCCGGCAGCCTCGACTGCACCGCGGCCGGCAGGACAGGTGCGGGAGGGGCCGGGAGTCAGAGGTGGAAGGTCGTGCCCGGCGCCTGCGCGAAAGCTGCTTAAGCATCAGACAATCCACGGAGGCGCAGCGAGCATGTCCTGAGCAAAGGCTTGCTCTTCCTTGACGGGCCAGAGACCAAAGTCCTTCACGGGCACTTTCTCAAGATGTGGAGTTTAACCCTGGACTCGAGGCTCCTCCCCCCACAGCTGAGATCACTCCCGGGACGGCAGGAGGTTGGCTCCGGGGTTAGACTGTGTATGCTCCAGACTGGCACATGCCTTGCTTTTGTGGGCCACTCCTGCTTCACTGTCAATGTGGCCTCGGCCTCCTTTGACCACAGGAGGTAGCCACTGCTCACGGACTCAAGCCTGCGGACCCACATGTTTGGGGGGGCCATGGGTGGGGGTTCACAGGGAGGAAAGGGAGGGTTAGGGCCCCTGCTCGCTGAGCCTCTTTCAACACACTAGATCACTTCCTCTCCAGGACTGTCAAAGGTACTGTGCCCTCTAGCCAACTTGATCTCCCCAACTTGGAAGCTACCGGGGGCACAGGCAGAGCCCTGGGGCCCCAGGAGATGTGCTGGAGGTTGTGGGACTTGCCGGGCCTGCGAGCTCCTCTGGTTGAAAGGAGTGGAAGGTCCTAGAAGACACTGCCGCTTAGCTCCCTCCCTTGCAGCAGCCAAGCCCTCAGCCTCCTGGAGCACGGGGTATGCAGTCAACCAGAACCGGCTAATTGCAGGGCAGCTGAATTGATGAGCGCCTCCCAGGCCCAGGTGAGCCTTCACCTTGGTTAATCTGCAAACTGGTTAATCGGCCTCAGGATAATTGAAAGTTAATCGTATGCACAGCCCAAGTGCAGTCACTGGAAACGGCAGGAAACCACAGTAGCGCAAGAAGTCAGATCCATGTTCAGTGAACCTGTCGCTTCTCCAGACAGTGTTCAGCCTCGAGCCCGCTTCACGCGTGGCCCCATTCACTCCTGCAACTGACCCTTGTTACACAGCGACCCTGGTTCCTGGGAGCACACAGTAAGTGCTCAATAAGTTGCAGTTACTATTAATCCTTTAGTGTGGTCGAGGTGGTCGACCCTGTGGTCCCAGGTGGCGCTAGTGGTAAAGAACCTGCCTGCCAATGCAGGGGACATAAGAGATGCAGGTTTGATCCCTGGGTAGGGAAGGTCCCCTGGAGGAGGGCATAGCAACCCACTCCAGTATTTTTGCCTGGAGGATTCCCATGGACAGAGGAGCCTGGTGGGCCACAAAGAGTCGGACACAACTGAAGTGACTTAGCACGCACACAAAGCATGCACAGTGTGGCTGATGGATTTAAAGTTAGGAAGTTAGGAGATCTCCAAGACATTTGGCTGGGGGAAGCACACTGGGGGAGCTGCAAAAACCACTCTACTCTCCCCCGAGTGTGCTTTACAAAAAGGAAAATCTGAAGAGTTTAAACACCGCTAGGAAAGCATATCAAGAGCACAAAAACATCCAGCACATTCCGAGAGGAAGAGAAGTAAACTTCAGAACTGCTAACACGGATACCTGAGGGTCATCCTCAAACCTACACAGGTTGGTAAATTCTCCAATGCTCTTTCAGGTAACAGAACTTGGTTTTCAACGTCAAGAATCACAGTGTGCAGCGTCCCGAGGGCCCAGCCTCCGGGTCCTTCCGAGAGCGGGGTTTCCCGGGTTTCCGCCGCCAGGCTCCGCAGTGCGCGGCTGCCTCTGGGGGCGGCGAGCGCCCAGGTCTGCACGCCGAAGTTTCCACGAGAATCTGATGGCGACTGCTGGAATGACAGCTTCCTTCCACCCTCGACGCCAGTCCTGTGACCATGGTACAGAATCGACAGATTTCCCTTCTTCCATCCTGCGACACTAACCGGAGGAAGCCTCCTGCTAAGAGCGGACCAGTACCTGCCAGGGACTTGGATAAGCACTTTCCCAGGACGCCGGGAACAGCACTGGCCCGAGCCCTTGACCTTCTGCCCACTGCAGGGACAAGTCCCGAAGGATGCTCCCAACCCGCTCCGTCCGGACAGCAAAGACCCGGCACAAACAAGGTCCTACCTCCGCTGAGGGCAGACGTCCCTAATCCATCAAAGAGCTCTTTCCACTGAGCCCAGACCAAGTTTCAGGCTTTCAAAACATTCCAGGCACCTCCGAATCCATCAGAAGCAGCTGGGGTGAAACCCCATCTTCCATCCGAAACCCGGCCACCCAGAGGGGCAGGTCAGGACACAGCGGGCCGCGGCCCTCCAGAGAAGCTCCATCAGAGCTAGCTGTGGGCCTTGGGGTTTTCCTGTTTCTCTTTTTAAAAAATTATTTCTCTGGCTAATAAAACACCACTTAAAAAAAAAGAAAAAGAAAAAACTCTAACCCTTGGAGCAGTGATTTCAGCCAGAAAACTTGCTTTCGGTGTTACTCTGGAATGCTGAACACCAGAGAGAAGTCAGTAGTTCCCATTCAGAACGGGCTGAAGACCAAGTTTTAGGAAGCAATGAGCTTTAATGCTGTGCCTTTCCCCCCTTAATGGTGTCAAATAGCTTTTGCTTTTCAGTTTTATTCTTTGAACACTGTCAACCTTTATAAGTGGCAGAACATCAGACTCTCAATCTACTGACCAGCTTAGGAGTGGTACCATCACCCTGAGAAAATTTACATTTTTTGCACCAAAAGTCTTTCCGTTCATAATAGCCTTATGATACTGGGTCATGGAGCTTAAAATAGCACCCGTGTCTGATAGATAAGAAAACTGAGGCCTTCAGAGATTCAATGACCTGTCCAGAGACACACCACCCATCGATGCAAACCAGACCCAGAACCTAGATTGCGAGTGTGTGTGTGCGAACTCGCTCCAGTCGTGTCTGACTCTCTGCGATCCTATGGACTGTAGCCCACCAGGCTCCTCTGTCCATGGGGTTCTCCAGGCAAGAATATTGGAGTGGGTCGCCATGCCCTTCTCCAGGAGATCTTACCAACTCAGGAATCAAACCTGTGTCTCTTATGTCTCCTGCGTTGGCAAGCGGCTTCTTTATCACTAGCGCCATCTGGGAAGCCAGACCCTAGATTAGCTGATTCCAAACTCAGTGTTTCGTAAATGGCCTGCCCTGCAATTATTGCTATGTATTTTCCCCTTTGCCATTTAAAACCCAGTGGAGATAATAACACTAGCAGAACTTATACTTCAATTTGAATTTAATTTGCTCAGTTTTCTAATTGGCTATCTTATATTTATTTATAAGTTAGAAAAACATAGATTATTCCCATCTTACAAATGAAGAGGTGAAACCAAGAGAGGCTGATAAACCAAGAGAGGGTGGTCTTGACACAGCTGAGACCAGACACTAGATCTGTTAGTGTATCTAAAGAAGCATCACGAGGCTTGCAAAGACTCAGCCCAGCAACTCAGAAATCTAACTGTGAGCCTCCAGAACTCTGAACTACAAGTTCAAAACATCAAAACATTCTAGATAGTGGTGTTTAAATACCAGATTCTCACTCTGAGTTAACACTTACTGAGGGAAAACTCTCCAGATCTGTTCACTAATTGGCCCATTTAATGTCATTTAACCCTCACAGCATTAGTCAAAGCTTGTTATTTCTGCCTTAAAATTATTTAATCCTGATCTCCATGGTTTTTGGACACTGAGATAGGCCTCCATTTATTTTTAAGCGGCTTGTAATCAGAATGGAAAGACGATGAAGAAAAGAAAACGTGCTTTGGCGATTGGATCCACAAGAG